GCGGGAGCCCGGTATCTCACGCAGGCTGCTGCCTCCAGTCAGACAAGCCCTATTTCACCTGTAGCCATGGCCCCCGATGGGACAGCAGAGCTGTGTCCCTTCCCAGGCGATGGCAGGAGAATGAGATGTCAGAAACAGGGCTCAGTGTGCTTGCTTCCTGGGAGGGGCTGAATGGATGCGGGAGTCCATGTGTGTGGGGAGGGAGGGAGACATGGGTGTGTGCCGGAATGAGATGCCTGGGGCCCCCAACCTGTGCTGCATCTCCTCCTTGTGCTGTGTCTCCTCCCTGCCCTGCTTGCCTCTCCAACCAGGCACCTGGCCCTTCTCCTCTCTCCCAGGTCGAACCCTACATGCCACTGCATGCAGAACTCCGCTTCCTCTCCTGGTTCCATGACACCTTGCTGTGCCCTCTTGGGTCCTACCAGGTCACCCTGTATGTGTCCTGGAGCCCCTGCTCAGAATGTGCTGAAGAGCTGACAACATTCCTGGCTGGTCACCGCAATGTGACCATGACCATTTATGTCGCCCAGCTTTACTACTGCAACTGGAAGTCCCCAAATAGGGAGGGGCTTAAAATACTGATTGCGGAAGATGCCAGGTTGCGTGTCATGTTTTATGATGGTGAGAAACTGGGACATGAGGGCTGCAGGGGGTGCAGGGGACTGGGATCAGCACCCCTCAGTGTAAGGGTCCAGGGCCCAGGGGACAGTAAGCATTGAGGGGGGGCAGTGCTGTGCTCAGCACAGCAGCCAGTCTGGGAAGCTCAGGTGACAAAGCCTGGGGGCCTCTGATGTCTACTCCCTTCTTCATCTCAGAATTTTTATACTGTTGGAGAAACTTTGTGAAAAATGACTACAACAATTTCGATCCTTGGTCCCTACTTGATGAAAATTCCAGGTACCACAACAGGATCCTGCAGAACATTCTCAAGTGAGTGGCCTCCATTGCCTCTCTCCTGTTGCTCCTGCCTCCTCGGCCTTCGCTTCTCAGGTTGGATGGCCTTCTCTATGGCCCCCTCTCCCTCTGGCCTCCTGTGCACCACCTCCCTTCACTCCCTGCTTCCTCCCAACCATCCTCCTTCCTTGTAAAATTTGCATCTCCCGGACAAGAATCTCAGATTTCTCCAGCGTCACACCAAGCTCACTGTCCTATGGCCAGAAGAAAATGCTATATGTACGTTCCTGACAGCACCCTCAGCCCCAGACTCCACCACACCTGAATCTTATTCTAAAACCAAACATAAGTGTGTATCCCTAAGCATGAAGATCGGAAGCTTTGAGAAAGGTCCCTCAAGGCAGACTGGAGTTCTCCTGTATTCTCTTCCCTGACAGTTAAGGCCTTTGCTTGGAGATCGTTCCTGTTGCTTTAGTTTTAATTTGCATTGTCCCTAAAGCAAGGACCATGCTGGCTGGTGACAGTTTGAGAAACGTCCCTCGAGGCAAGCTTGGGTTCCAGGGAACTCCCTGTGGGCTCCCCTGGAGAAATCACTGTGAGGTTGAAAGTCCACCATAAGAGGTTGCAACCGCCCTGGGGCCGAGACACCAGAGCTGGCTCCCTCGTGGCCTCGGCCGGCCTAACCTAGTGAAGGGGCTGGCGGCATTGTTTCTGCTGTGGCTTCTGTCCCTGGCTTTAATGGCCACCATTTGCTGAGTCCTCAAGTGATCTTTCCCCAACACACATGCGACCCTGGCATCTCTGTGTCCTGCTCCCCTCCTCTCACAAGGCCACCAGGCAGATTGCATCAGGCCCCATGCTCAGGCCTCCTGTTAGCACCAGGGCCCAGTCAGAGGGCCTGTGTCCAAATACAGTGTACATCCCCAGCTCAGGGTTAGGGCCTCAGCATCTGGACACTGCGTGAGGGCCTTGTGGGGCTGCATGTGGGTGCCAACTGCTTGGGTCCCTGTTCTTTCTGTGAGTCAGTCTCCTAGTGGGTTCCTGACCTGACAGCCGCTTCCACCCAGGTCTTGCTGCACCCTGGAGCCCTCCCCATTGTTCAACACTGCCACCCCTGATCTGTTCATTAACCCTAGCCAGAGAGGAACCACTGAATGGGGACTGCCCTAGTGGACAACCCAACTCCGCCCACCATGTGACTGGGGCAGGTGACCCCCAGTGTGTGTGGATGCTGCTCCTCATCTAGTAGCTGGCGGGCTCCCCAGGCTGCCATGTGTTCAGACACGCAGTGCTCACCACAGTGGCTGCTGCGTATGAACTGAGACTCTACCCTGACTTTTCAACAGATGTAGCCTGCAGAGGTGGAGAGTCAGGGATGAATGGGAGTGGAAGGTTAGAAGATATTTGAGAGTGGAAGGGTTTTGTGTCTTTGACATTTTCTCCTGGCTTGGGGATGAATGGGCAGGAACACAGGGAGGTGGGGTGTCCCATTGGAAGCAGCAGAGCTGGGGCCTCGGGTGGGAAGGGCGCCCTCTGGCCCATGCTCTCCTCTGCCCTCCTGTCTTCCAACCTGGAAAGGGTGCAGGATTCTCAAGGCCTGGAGCATTGAGGGGAGGTGCGGTCCTCTGGGTTCTGGGACCTGTGTTTATTTGACAGCAGCTTGGAGTGACTGCAGGCCAGCTCTGTAGTTTCTGTTTTCTCTCCGGTGCCCAGAGAACCAATGAAACGGCTAAAAAAAGAAACATTCTACTTCCACTTTGAAAACCTACCCTATGCCTATGGACGGAATAAGACCTTCCTGTGCTATGAAGTAAAAAGAGAACGGGACAACAAAGTCCTTCACAAGGGGGTCGTTCAAAACCAGGTAACCTCCAGTCTCCTCTCTAGGACAGGTGGAAACTAGGCCTGGTGAGGATGCAGAACAAAGGATCAGTGAAAGCCACATGGCCGAGTCCTGGGCCCTGCTGGTCCTGCCTGACTGTCCTGCACTCTGACAATGCCACCCTGTGACTTCTCACAGCAGGCCTCCTTCAGAGGTGTTCTGCTCTAGCAGCGC